AAAAAAATAATATATATATATATATATATATATATAATATATCATTAAATATAATTAAGCAAAATTTGTTATTAAACGTTAAATGTCAAATCAATATTGTGTCTATTAATAATATCCTTCATTTTCTCGCAATGTAAAAAAAAATATCCTTATCTAATAATCTTCTGTATTTTTGTATAATTCCTAATTATACAAGGTGTTTGATAAATAACGATAAAACTCTCGCATTGAGGTAGAGCGGAATCGAAAAGTCTTCTATCATTTTGCAATTTTTGCAATAATTAACAAGATATCAATTACTAAAAATTACCAAATACTGATTTTCAATACTTAAGTGCTATCAATTTTACAAAAAACAGTAAGCGACAAAAATTATTTATTTTCTTCTCATAGAGCCTTATAACTCGAAAAGTACTTCATGAAAAATTATTTTATTATAGTGTTTTGGAAAGCTCTCAAGGTATGCTACAAGAATATATAATGAAAAATAGGAAGTTCCACTTAAAAAATTCAAAATGATATTGTTTTGACTTTGGTCAGTGCCAAGATCAGACTGATCAGATCACTAAATAGATTATTTAGAACCCCGTAACTTTTGTCTGAAACATTTTTTTCTAAAATGCTCTGTTTTCGAGCATAGAGATAAAAAGGATGTACAAGGTGTCTGGGACACCTGGTATTGGCAACTATTTTTACCAACATAAGAAAATGCGATACTACAAAATTTTGAAAAAATTCTTAAAATTCTATGAAAAAAAAAAAAATAATTTTTGTCTTTTGCCGTTCTGTAAAATTGATAATAATTGAGTAAAAAATTATTGAAAATCAATATTCGATGAGTAATATTTTTAGTAATTAATGTCTTGTTAACTATTGCGAAAATTGTAAAATGATAGAGCATTTTTCGATTTAGTTTAGTCCTCTTTACCTCTGTGCGAGAGTTTTATCGTTACTTATCAAACATCTTGTATATATATCTTCACTATCAAGCAATTAATGTTTGTAATAATTGACTGAATAATCCAACACTGCCTATATTTATTATTGTAACAGATATTAGACACGAATCTAGACAAAAACAAAGAATCAATTAAACATAGCTAAAAGCGAGTTAAATTGTTGGAGCTTGCCTATCATCAGGTTGGTAAACTGGTAACATGTACGTTAAATTTCTTTTTATATGTTTTATTCTGCAAAGGAATATTAGAAGAAAACTAGAACGCATTGTAAATTTAAGATACTAAAAACTTGAAAGATTAAAGTAAAACACATATTATTTATATAATAGCAAAAACTTTTGTTGCCTTAGTTTTCGACACAAACTGTTATAATAAGCGGCTGACGAAGCTTGAAAAATACGCCGTCGAGTCATTAATCAAATCTGCAAACCTACGTAAATAAGTAGTGGAACTGTATAAACAATAGAGCACTCACGACAATTCGAATACGTATGCGCACCTATAAGAATCGCAGATAACAGACTGACTGAAAGGTTGATTGCTTGATGAGTCCGGATTGGATAATAAAACTCTTCATTCTCTATCTAGCTGGAGCAGAGGTGTTAATTAAGGTTAATTAACATTTTGCTTTTTAATGCAGTTAAACATTGTTCACATTTTGCAGGATTGCAACGATATGCAATAACGTATATGATTTGAGAAAAATTTTGTGATAGGCTTGAAAATTTAATAAAAGAGTAAAGAAAGTAATAAAGTTTTTTTATTTGTTTCTTTTTTCTCACAAGATTCAGAGAGAATAAGAATCATTTTGCTTTTATAAAATTACAAAAGTAATACGATTTATTTATATTTAAATTTGTGAAAAAAAAGAGAGAAATATTTAATTTTTTTTTTCCCAAATAGAAATCAAATTTTTGAGGAATAGATGACTACAAACGGCTGTAGAAATATAAAAGAAATTTTGTTAGAATGTTTCGATCATCGATTTTTAATTCTGAAATTCAACTGTTAATTAATATCATCTCTCTGTTTTTTTCATGGAAAGTTAATATTTATTATTCGATGATGTTGCTTGTGACAATGCGGCGCAGACAGTATGCAAGCATAATGCAATATGCATGCGATTTGAAAAGAACTTTGTGAAATCAAGTTTTGGAATAAAGCGGGAAAAATCATTTCGATTCATGCCCTAATAAAATTACAAAAGTAATACATTTATATTTAAATTTCTGAGAAAAAAAAAAGTTTAGAGAGAGAAATATTTAACTTTTTTTCCCAATCCAAATTAAAATCATTTTCAAAAAACAAATGGTTACAATCGTAGAGCCGTAGGAAATTTTGTTAGAGTTAGAAAATTTTTGTGATCGATCATTTTTAAACTCTAAAACTTAACTGCTTTCCTTAAATCTTTTGAAGAATCATGTCCATCGGCATCGAAGATTTCGAAGTGACTACTTTTGCTGAGCTTCTTGCGCTTCGTGCAATAACATATGTTATATACGCAAGAATTTAGGCGCGCGTGTATGTGTTCTTTAAATAAACCGCACAATTTCATAAATATTCTCATCATCTCATAGGTTCGACAACGATCGTGAATCTCGCAGGTCAAATATTGACTCGGTGCGCGCTCATGCAGCTCAGCCTTCTATTACTCCGCGCGACGGAAACACATCATCTATATCTCTCTCTACCTCCTCACGGCTAATTAATTCGTTAATTAAATAACCGATTATTGTCGACTTGCAAAGTCGCTTCGTTCTACAAATAAATAAAAAAAACTTTTATTTCTTTTGTGTACAAACTCATTTTCAATTTTTCAGCTCGGTTAATCTTCAGATATTTCTTTCATCTTTAAAATACGAAGAATTGATTATTATGTATAAAATGAATCGCGATTCAAATACATCATAATTATCTAGAAAGTTCCAATATTTGTATGTCACCGTTTGCATTTGGAATTAATAAATGCATTTAAAACATTAGATAGATAAGAGTATCATGTATTTAAATAGACAAACACCGTTTGTAATTTTCCGCTTTAATTTTCTTACTTGTAAGACAAAAGGTGCGTTCGAGGAAACGCTGATGTTATTTACTTATTATTCTATCTTCATCGTTTATTAACGATGAATGATTATTAAATAAGACGTAAAACAAAAATAGAATGATACAAATAGCATTAATAGTGTCTGCCTGAACGCATTTATAGATTGATCATACATAAATCACTTCACTAAAAGTATCCACAAAATTTGCATTATTCTTTCTAATTATTAATACATGATGTAACATGCTTTATGCTTCATATGATGACTTCATTATATCTTCATAAAAATCACGTACCGTTATAACAACCACACAAATAATTTTTTCTTTGTTCTGTTTCAAATTATCTGTACGCCTATTTGTTTTTTTAAGCGCTGGTGAATTATAGATGTTCCGATTTGTTCGATACACACGCATGTATACACGATCGAATATGCTCTAACTTATTTTCCCGTTCCCGTAATATGCGCAAGACCTGATAGCGAGATAAGCCTTGATAAGATTAACGCCTTTCTGGCAATGCCTATCCAACAGATAAAACCTCCAAAGCACAAGCATATGTGTATTCAAGATTATAATTTTATATTTGCAAATAAGGCTTATTATTATTTGATTTAATAAAATATATTCATCTAGGTCATTGTATCGATGACTTACATTTTTTGCGGATGAATATATATAATATTAGTTATGGGAAAAAGTTAGTGGCGTTTTTTTAATGCTATCTAACGGAAAAACGCCACGAACTTTTTCTCACACCTAATATTAAATCATAAATATACGTACGTATTATATCAATCTGTTTATTTGAAAATACTGGTTGGTTTCAATAAATTTATTTCTTCTAACATTCCTTCAATAATTTATTTGCGTCGTACGTAAGTTTTTCTATGTACAAAGTAACATAAAGATATGAAAAAGCATCAGAGACCTCTTTTATAGTACGGATGTCAATTTGTTATATCAATCTGCAAAAAGAAAGAACAAGAAATTACATTAGAATATTTATTAAATTTGACATTTCCGCGAAAGAATTTTTCTATTATTATACATTATTCTTAATTCTTTATATACTTTATATATTAATTGCAAACTTATGCATTTATAACGCGATAAGAATAATTACAAAAATTGAGACAATTTATCATTCTGGAAAATAACATAAGTGAACATCAAATGTGCAACATGAATGAGATGTATCATTTTCCGTAATTTTTCATTTCTAAATCCGGCAGCGAGATTTTTGTATTCCATCAGATTCATCTACGTTGTTTAAAAAATAGCTAAAAATGGCGTGTTTTTTTATACTTTTAATTTCAATTCGGAAAAATCTGATACAAAAATTTCGCTGTCGAATTTAGATTCATGAAAAAGCTACGAAAAATTATATTTATGTTGCATATCTAATGTCTATCTGTATAATTTATTTACAAAAACGTCGTATTAGCCAAATGGGCAAACAGAATAGAGATCATTTCTCTAAATTTGTAATAAATAAAATCTTCGAATTACTTCACTGCACTAGTATTAACTATATATTATTTTTACTACAATATATTATTTTTATGTAATAACAATATTTTTTTTATAAAGTAAAAAATTCATATGATAACTCATAAATTTCGACAAAAAATTATCACATTATTCAATTATAATATTTATATAAAACAGATGGTACTCTTATTATATATTTTACATCTTATAAATCCTATTTATAATGTGTATAAAATTTATAACAAATTACATAAGTTAAATAAAATTTGTTATCATATATACATATATATACACATACATATATATATATACATACACACATGCGCGCGCGCGCACACACACACACACACACACACACACACACACACACACACACACACACACACACACACACATACATATATATATATATTTATGTGCGTCCTTATCGCAGTATCTTTTTTAGATATATAAATGTTATGCAGATAGATATAAATGTTATAACGTGAAAACTAACTTTTTTAATTATAACACTACTTTAAATATTGTTGCAACAATAGCAGTAATGAAATATATGGTAAAAATATTCAATTATGACTACTATTTAGCTAAATACTATTTAGCTATTTTTACTGAAATATGTACACACTCTTACGCCGCATGTTTCCATCTATTCACACGATGTAACGACAAGCCTCCATTATTCCAGGCACAGTACATCACTGCAACCCCTGCTGCAATAGCGCCTGCAATACCAGCTTTTCTGATCCCAGCTAAAATAAAAAAATACACATCACTTTATTGTAAGAAATGTAATTTTTTCTTCTTATTCTAATATATGTATTACTCATTTATTACAACTTGTAATATGTAATATATTTTAACTATGTAATATATTTTTCATTTGCTACAATAACTGAAGAAAGTTTTTTAAAAAATAAATTTAGATATTTTGAATCATTAATTTTAAGACAATAATTGTAGAAGAATAAAAGTATACTTTTAAAGTAGATTTTTTCTATTTATATGTTTCTGTTCTTTTTTTTACAATTAAAAAATAATTTTTAAATTATGTTGTAACAAATGATCAATATGTCCATACCAGGCGATCTGAATACTGCAGCACTCGTAGCAGCTGCAGCTACTGTATTCAAACTGTCGTCGGTTCCTCTGAGCCAAGTTAGACCTATTCCAGCACAGGTGTACATTATCATAATCACACCGAGTGAATTTGCCATACTAGCGCCACCTTTCATAACATAATTAATCAATCTGGAAAAAAGATACATACATGCACAATTTTTTAGGTATCAAAAGGAAATAAATAACAAAAAATAATAACGCACTGTGTTCTTCTGAGTTTGCCTGTCTCGCCAGCAATAGATGTCGCCTTGACACCTCTGTATAAACCTGACGCACCACCAACCCCTGCGCCTGCTATGCATGCAGCTCCAATTTGACTGAAAGCTAACTCAAAGCGGCCTCTTTGTTTCATAGCACCATCGGGAAATATAAATTCTGGCTGACTGACAGGAAGATATGATGGGTCAAAATTTAAATATGGGCTAAGTGAAGCTAAACCTTGTTGTGACGTGACTGAAAAATAAAATTAAAGTTTCTTAAGCAAGCAATATAAGATACCAAGAGACTTATTTCTTGTTCATAACTTATATCTCATTAACTCTGTTTATTATAAATTCTCATGTATCTTTTATATAACAAGACATATTATTTTTATAACACAAGTAAACAAAGAAAATTTTATGTTATTTCTATATATATATACGTGTGTGTGTGTGTGTGTGTATATAGAAAAAGATGAAAAGTTAAATTAAGATTAAAAATAATCTACATAATATATGTATAAATATGTGTATA